CCTTTTTAGTTTCAGGCATTGTGATGCGGAAAGAAAGGCACAGAATGTGACAGCTGGGAAGGACTTTAGAGAGCCTGTCATCTTCAGAAAATCCAGACACAAAGGGACACATCCATACTCGAGTCGTGAACTGTAGAACCAACAGGGGTAGAAACTACATTGGTTCCGTTTTGACATAGTATTCCTCCATTTTATTTAAAGTTTCTATATGAACAATTTCAAATTAATTTAGGCCATCCTCTGCATGTTGTCCTGGTGAATAAAACTCAGAAAAGGATGAAGAAAATAAATTATGAAAGCCCTGGGATGAACTAAGTGACTTAAGGGTGATTCTTTCATTTTATTATTTTATTTGTACCTTTATGAGAATGACAAAGGTGATTAGAAATTTAGCATGGCTATAAACCAATATAAAAGCAATATAAATTATTCAAACCTGCAGCTACGCAGTGTCGACCCCTTGAAATGTGGGACAAGCTAAGGTTCGATCTCTGATGAGAATTAAATTCAAACTTTCATAAAAGATCAGTATGTGAAAAATTACACACCAAAACCACAGCATTAATCATAAAAATATAGTTTGTTTACTTTCTCTTATAATTTTATACGAATTCCAGATTTATGAATTGTATCTGTCTACAGTGGAGATCCTTAACCTGACCATATATATAAAATAGCTCCTTTCATGTATCATTCAGTATGTGATGGGTAATCTGTAGCACAAACTAATTAAGTTTGATCTCTTTTTATTTTAATTTTTGAAATGAAAATTAAAGATTAGAGCAGTTGTTGTAGGCTACTAACTCTAAATCCTCATACTTCTTTGCCTCCACGTACCTAATGTTAATATTCTGCCCACTAGTGGTTCTATGGTGATACTGTAGCTACAAATTGTGTCTTCAAGACAACAAATTCTGTAGAGTAGCTGGACACAAGGTCAACACACAAAGATCAGTAGCCTTTCTATACTCGAACAACAGACTCACTGAGATGGGAACTGAATAAACGACTCCTTTCACAACAGCATCCAAAAATTGAAATACCTAGGAATCAGCCCAACAAAAGAAATCAAAGACCTCTACCCTGAAAACTACAGCACTCTGAAAAAAGAGATTGAAGAGGATATCAGAAAATGGAAAGGCATCCCTTGCTCCCCCTTGCTCCTTGCTCCTGTGTAGGGAGAACCAACATAGTGAAAATGGCCATCCTTCCAAAATTTCTATACAGATTCAGTGCACTCCCAATTGAAAGTCCAACAGCATATTTCATAGAACTAGAGAAAATGATCCAAAAATTCATTTGGAACAAGAAGAGACCTAGAACAGCAAATGCAATTCCAGGTGATAAAGACAAGGCAGGGGGTATCACAGTCCCCAACTTGAAACTATGTTTGTGTACTGTGAGACCAGGAGAGACCAGGCATTTGTTCAACAACATAGTAGTATCTGGTCACCACAGACAATTTTATTTTTCATTTTGTGGTTTCATTTTTCCTTTTAATAAATGTGTTCCACAAACTAAAACAGGACTATGAAAGATGAGTCTATTGTAAGACCATGATTTTGGCATGAGCTCTAAATTACTTTTGATAAATTTTGACAACATGCAAATTGTAAAAAACATTTGCACACGTCTTTGAGCGCGTATTCTAAGTTATAAAACCAAGCCAAAGGGATTCCCCTTTGTGGAATATAAACACACGGCAGCTCGATGACACAACTAGTCAATTCTAGACTAGTATCCAATATTTAATTCAGAATCATCATCAAACATTTGAATAGGTCTTTTAAAAAAGTGAACGGAGAATTCATGCCATATGCAATTAAGTAGCTACCTATATTTCTTTCTCAAGAATCTTAGGAGATAGACTACATAATTATCATCATTCAAGTGCCTACAAAGCTAATCCTTAGTTTTAGTAAGGTGCACTCAAACAATTCCAAGGTGAGCAGTTTCCTAGCCTACGTCATTTCATAGTAATAAGTGAGGTAACTCCCTCTATAAATCCAACAGTGACTGAAATCTTTATATACTCGTTAAATCAAAATTACATGTTGAAACACCTGTTAATTCTGCACTCAATCAAATAGAATATGTGTTAATGCTGCAGCCCAAAGAGAACAGAACTCTTATTTACAAATGACAGATCACCATTCGACATTTGGAAATTAGGAAGTGCACAGTCCTGTAGTAATTTACTGAACATTGTGAGTTAATAAGCAAGCATTCTGCTGGAAACAAGGGTGTGATTTCCAGTCTGTGTGATGTCCAGCGTTGCCCACACAATTTGGCAATAGAACCCCTGCAGTAAAAACTAGTGACCTTTTCACTTTAAAAGCTTTAAAAAATATGTCTACTTAAACATCAAACATTAAATAAAATAAATTTCTCAGCTTGTGCTGGGCCAACAATGAAGATTTCTGCATCATTTTCTTCACATTTTAGAAAGATAGAGCTAAAATGTATGCATAGTTATCTTTTTAAACTCATTACCCTTGCCAATCCATAAACATTTTGGGTATATCAAGATATCAAAACTACAGTGCTTCAGACAGTTATAATTTGAATACCTTTGCATTTAGCATCTTCTAATGATTATTTTTTAAGATCATATTATGTAATAGGCAGCATGATCATTGTTAGGGATACAACAGTGAGAAAAATCTGTTTCTTGTCTTCTTGGAACTTACAGTGTAGGACAAAGGCATATTGTGGAAAAAAAATCTTCATAAATCGTCTGAAGGAAAATCTTGACTGAAAATGAAATCTTTTTAAGGAAGTGATTGAGAGCTATTATAAGAGGTAACTCTAAACTGAGAACCAAAAGAGGAAAAAAAGCTATTCATAGAGGAGGAAGAAAAGGCGGAGGAGGAGGAAAAAGAAAAGGAGGAGAAGGCAGTGAAGACAATGAAATAGCCACATTACAGGCTCGAAGAGCCTAGTTAAGGCTTGTGGTGTTGGAGCATATTAAACTGAGAGTAAAGACCAAAGTTAGAGTTAGAAACAGAAGCAGTGGCCAGAGCTTGTAAGATATTATAAATTAGGGTAAAAGGAATATATCTTATAAGCAATAAGAATCCATTAAATCCCTTTGAGAGAGTCAAGAACTATAGTGGTGTCCTCTATATAAACACAAAACTACAAATGTAAATACTGTATCCACAAGAATTAAATAGATTATTGCAAGATGTATAGCAACAGTATAATGTGATCTTCAGAAGCAGAAGAGTGGCCTTTTGAAACTATAAATAATTAGTATGTGTAACAAAGGTATTGTTTACAAGTTGGGTATGTAGTGGGTCAAGTTGAAAATATTCAAATATGTCTTATACTGATGCTATCGTGCTGTAACATTTTTATCTCTTCAAATTTCGAGAATTGTACTTTACAAAAGTTCCTGGATGTTCTTGGGTTTCTTCAGGCTTGAAAACAGAAGACTGAGACATCACAAAGAATGTACTTCTGTGCTGTTTCATTGTCATAAGTCGAGCTAAATAATTTACAGAATGTATTATAGAAATCTCTTGAGTAAATTCTGTGCTTTGTGTATAAAACTGCTAAGTATAGCATGCTAATGCAAAAAAAAATGTAGAGGTGGATCCTTTGTAGGAAAACTACAGAGCATAAAACAACCATAAATGAAAAGCATATCAGGAACAAGCTTGATGCACAAAGAAAAAAATGTGTTTTGAAAAGCACAGAAGCAAGTAAACACACAGGTTGGTGTAGAACTCAGAATAAAAATGGGGCTAAAACTCACTCGCTTGATTTTAGCAGAGATAGGAAGGATATGGAGAGAAGATTTATAATGAGTTCTGTTGTTCTGTAGCACTCTGGGGTAAGTACAGTTTATAAAATTTTACGGTTGTTGTAGAGGCTTAAGTTTTCTCACACAGAGAAATAATAAGTATTTGAGGAAATGGAGACACTAATTATTCTCACTGAATCAATGTACAGTGTATACATGTACCAAACACTCTACAAATATGTACAAATATGTCAGTTTAAAAATTCCAATGAAAAAATTGCCTTCTATTGCCACAGAACACATTGTGAGGAATATGTTTCATGTTTACATCATTTTTATAAATTTTTTCACTTTTATTATTTCAACATTATTATATCTTCATTGTAAAATATTTATTAAATGCAAATAAATAAAGTAAAACTTACCTACTTTACATTAAAAAATAGATTGGTAATTTAGAGGAAAAAGCAATAACCTCTAAATAGGAAGGGGGAAAGACTTCATGGAGAGGGCTTCCAGGAGTTTAAGGGACAAAGTATCAGAAATGAGAAGAGTGGTGTTGTAAGGATAATGATCACTTTAATCAGTGAGAAGAAATCTACTACAAAACTTGGCTTGGGATTTAGCACAGTGATGCCACTGCTTTCCTCACAAGTGTAAGGTCCTGTGTTCCATCTCCAGTACAAACAATGAAATAAACAACAACAACAACAACAACAAACTTTCTCTTGTCCCAAGCAAACAGGAGAGACCAAGATATTAAGCTACAGTCATTTAGATCCAATTCTAATTTAAACCATCTTGAACATGTTCTTACACCTGCCAAGTTGACACTCAATACCCAGTGCCAAATATTAATCAGCATTCAATCAGCTATTTCCACATACATTTCTTGTCTGCCACCAAAATAAAAAGTCACACTGGCTAAGGAAGAAAAGTTAGCTTGGATGACATGTTGGGACTCATATTTGACAAACCCCTCCCTGATGAATCATCCTTGAAGCTCACATGAAAGCCATTTTGAAGACTCCAAAAGGACTTGCATCTTTGTTAATAAGACATCATTTCATACATAACAAAACCAAGTTCTAATGAGAGGTTATCCCTCAAATTAGCTTAAGCAATAAGGTGCAAAACAGTCTTGACAAAAATGCCAACACCCAGTTTTCTGAGTAGTATATAATCTCCCCAGCAAAAAATTTAATCTTCAGACTTGGCCCTATTGACCAACGTCAATTAGGGTTTTAGCAATATGTCTCATAGTTACTGCCAGTCATTCAGGAGGTCCTATAACTCGCCGCAGCTCTCCGCCATTTTCCATGGCTCTAATCCTACAAGCTTTGGAGATGGAATTTGTTTGCCCAGCACCTGCCACAGCAGAACTTGGCTCTTGGACAACTATCAAGAAACCCACAATGAAACCTCCAGCTGCCAATTGACCAGTTGTGAGCAGGACCACTTTACAGAAGATACATTTGTGCAAAGTTGTTGCCTACCCAGTGTTGTCCAAACAACTTATCCCAATTCCAAGCCTTCTGAAAGGACATCATGCCAATCAAGAAGTTCCTCAACAGTGTCAGAAAATGCTTCTCTGTCTTGCCAGTCACGAAGCAGTCAGCAAGTGGGTTTTGGAACCCAACATTGCCAACCCGAGAGCTACATGGCAAAGCATTGTCCACTAAAGACTTCCGTGTCTCAGAGTTGTCAGACTCTGGAATATGAATCTAGCCAATGCCAATGTCAGATCTCTGAGTCCAGTTCCTGTAGCCCACTGGTCAATGCTGCCCCTGGGCCTCAACTCCTGGAATCCTACGAGCCAGCTTGCTATATTACTGGTGGTTTGAAATCATCTAGTAAGTGAAGAATCTATAGGAAATGTGCATACTTGAATTGATTTAGAGGGTATCTAGTCACTTTAAGTTTCTCAATACAAAATATTATTTGTGTTATAATTGAATGAACATGTCTTCTACTGGTGTCTCCAAAGACAATAATTTTTTTCTTTTGGTATTTATTTTTGCTGGTAATCTGGAGTTGGAAAGTCTAACTATTTTAGATTACCGAAACTGTATTTATTACAGAGCAATAAGTGGCAACCAAGAAATAACTTGATATTTTAAAAAGTTAACCTACATTTTGACAAGTAGTTATTGTCTATGGAAATACTCAGAATTGTATCTACTTTATTAACTAATGTGCCATAATATAAGAATTCATAAAATATTCAAGTTAAACAAGACTGTAGAAGCATAACTATCCTCTGAATTCTGTTAGTTTTAACTCTATTAAATAATAGTTAATGATTAATGACACCAACAATGCTTCTAAAGTCTGGCTTATTTGTTTGCCGTTCATGATTTTATCAGCTGTATCAAAATATTTTTAAGCTAACTATCAGATGGAATCTTTTGCTTTAAAAATAAAAGAGAATTTTGAATTTCACCTTTGCTGACTTTGGAATCACTCAACAAGACATCTTAGGACAGTATAAAGTGAAGTTTAGCATCTGTACTGCAGTCCTGTTTTTTTTTTTTTTTTAATTAAATTGAATATTGAGTTGGGAAAGTGTTCTTTCTCTTAAGTAAATTTACTTCCTTTGGAATTAAACCACAATTGTTATTATAATACTTTTATTCAATTCTTTAGTTAGTTTTATGTTATGGAGTTTGGAGTGATTTTTTTTACCTGATAAAAACATAAATATGTAAAGAATAAAATTATTTATTCCTTTAAAATTTCTGTAATATGAACTAGAATATTGGTAGTCTCCAAAAGGTAAGAAACATATGTAATGTGAAGATGATAAAGTCGTGAAGTCAGAATGTATGAAATGTATTAATTTTATTTAGATAGCATAGCTATTCTGAAGCTTTGGCTATGCTGTTACATGGATCTGTCATTTGAGGGTATAGCACAAAGTAATGGCTTGGAACATGGACTGTAAAGACAGACAGCTGCCCTGGGGTTGGGATCTCAGTTGTGCTGCTTGAATACTATTTAATTTCCAACTAGGTGAGCATATGGAAGATATTTAGACATTACTGTACATCGAAGTAATCTTGAGAACATATAATTGGGTGTATTGTCAGTTTTTCATTGCTCTAATGAAATACTTGAAAAAAGTTATTGGAAGGGTTTGTTTTGGCTCATGGTTTCAGAACATGATCACTATTTCCATTATTTTATCTGTATGCAAAGCAAAAACAACATGGTGGAAGGGCAGGTGGAAGAAAGGTGCTCATGTTATAGCAGTGGGAGAGCCCACTAGCTCTGAACACTGCTGCATTGAGATCCAAATTCCCAATGCATGATCCTTTTGGGGCATGTCCTATCCATGACATAAAATTTAACCAAAGTCTAGTGTGTATGTTATAAAGCAAAATGTATTTAGTCCATTTCCAAAAGTCATTATCTTAAGAGTTCCAGGATTTCTCAAAAGTCCAAACCTAATGTCTCCTCTCAGACTCAAGACAAACTCTGAGACTCCTCTGTGTGTGAGCCCCTCTCTTAGTAACTTACATTCTTCCAAACTACAATGGCAAAGGATAAACATTTGCATTCTACACGGGAGGACTAAGGGCACAGAAAGGAGATACATGACCAAAGCAATCATTGCCTACTCTAGCTCTAGGTCTGGCACCTGGAGCACACAGTAGTAAGATGTGAGATCCAAAAGGCTTGGACAGCCCATCCCTGTGGCATTGCTGAGTCCAGCCCACATGACTTCTCTCATAGGCTCACTGCCTATAGCTTTACTTGTCAGATGTTCCATGCTCTTGCCACCCCAACTTCCTGTCAGATCCATTGTATCCTCATCTTCGCTCTTACTATTTCACATATTGCTCTCTCATGGGCTAAATACAGGGCCTATGATCATATCACACATTGACTGATCTTTTGGGGCTTCCTATACAATGTTGGTGGAAGCATGGACCCATAACTTTCACATTATTCATGCCTGTAAAACTAGCACTAGGTGTATAATATCCTCTGCTACTTGCTTGAGTAGTAGTCCAGCTCCAGCAGCTTCTGAGAGCCTGAGTGGCTGAGCATAGTGAAATAAACCCTAGGGAACTGATTTCCTAGGTAGCCCTGCTCAAGCGGAGGATCCTGTGACTTGTTTTGCCAATGAAAGGCTTACATTTTTATATCTTTGAGCATACAATGAGTGAGGCTTTGGTGATTCCTTAGATATCCTCAAGATATTGTTCCTATTGCCTTAGTGCAAGTAATGGACTCCTTATAATTATGCTAATCTCCTCAGCAACCACACTTTCCTTGGCCTGAGCTTTACTTGTGTTTCTTTTCTAACCAACCTGTGGAATTTTACAATTCTCTAATTTGCTTTTTGTACTCAATTCTCACTATAAATCTGACTGAAAGCCCACAACAATATCCATGCTACCACCTGAGTACTCTGTGGACCTTTAACTTTCTTCCTCCATTTAACTAATTTGTAACATTTAAATTCAGCCTCCTACAAAATCTCAGGGTGTGGACAAAATACAGATTAGTGTTTTTCCAGAAGGTAATATGATGACCTCTAGTACCATTTCCCCTAGAGTCTTCATTCCCATCTGAAACATTGTAAGTTCAGTCTTATTGCCCACATTCTTATCAGCATTCTAGTCTTCACCAGCATTACCCATTAATCTGTGCTCACAGCATTCCAGAAGTTCTCTAATTCACATCTCCAAGCCTTTCCAAACTTCTCCTGCCAACCAGTTCCATTCTTCTGAACAACATGGTCAGCTGTAGTCATAGCAACAACTGCATTGCTGGTACCAATTTTCTGGGTCAGTCAACTCTCCATTGATAGGATGAAATCCGCCAGAGAATCAACTTGGAGGAGAAGGGTGCATCATAGGTCACTTTCAGCAATTTAAGTCCATATTTGGCTGGCTCCAGCGTTTGGAAAAGGGAAAATCTCATGGTGGATGAGCAAGGTGGAGCAGGTGGAGCAAGGTGGAGCAGAGCTGCTCATGGCAGCTGGGAGGCAGAGAGTGAAAGAGACCCTGACATCTCTGAACACTGTAACACTGGATGCCAAGCCTCCAAGACATGATCCTTGTAAGACATATATCCAAACCTTAATGATAGGGTACTGTGAGGTTTAATAAGGTAATACATTGAAAGTGTTCCTTATATTATCATGCATATAGTAGATTTCTCAGTAAGATTTTGAAAGAAACAGACGCTTGCCAAAGATCACTCCACACACCCACAGAGCTCATATGAAAGATTTATTGTAGAGCTGCTGTGACACAGTGGCCTACTTGGTGAAGGAGGAAGAAGAAGAGAGAGAGCTGGGTACAAGGGGCTTGGTTATATAGTGGTTGACTGGTGTAAGTAGGTTGGGAAATTGCATCAGCTTGCATGGGCAGCCACTCCGGGGTCATTATTTGTGATCCATTTCTTATATGGACAAGCCTTGCTCAAGCATCAGTTTTGCTTACAGAAAATGGCGCATGATGTAGGAAATGGAAACTTAAGGTATAAAATGGCTGTTGCTAACCAAAATGGTGGCAGCCATATCAAGGCAGTTATCTTATATTGCTCCTTTTTTTTGTTTGTTATGGCCTCAGAAAGAGGGGTAATGAATCTCTCTTGCAATCTTTACGTTTTGGCTTAAATTATTTTTATTCTAATTTCACCTAAACAGGTAGAAAAATAAGGCTAGATATAGAGTTTATGTTTATAGCACACATATGTAAAGCCAAAAGGAATTTTCTTTATTCTTCCTTTTATGTGTGTGTGTGTGTGTGTGTGTGTGTGTGTGTGTGTGTGTGTGTGTTAGAACTCCTGTGGTCTTGGACCCTTGTAGTATTTCTACCTGGTGATTGTCTGTTGGTATCTCCACTCCATGTAGATGTAGAGTTGCCAGAGGGCCAGCCTTTTTGTGACTGCTAAAATCACAGAAACAGCAAGGTTGATCTCTCCAGGGCATAAAGCCAAAGGAGATCCTGCTGTAGCTGGGAAAAGAAATGGAGAAATAGCAAACTCATCCAAGCCTGAGTCATGTATCATCTGTTGGTTGTTGTTCATCTGGAGGATGAGTTGGAAAACCAGTTGGGTCCTGTAAAATAAGCTGCTTAACAGTTTGGTTGGAAATATTTTGTATTTGGTTTGGAAGAAAGCGGAGTAAGCAGGAAGCCATTATAGCAATTATAAGAATGCATATAAAGGGACCAGTAAGGGTAGGACCCAGGGAAGGATACTGTGGAAAATGGAATAGTATTGATCTTTTTAGAGCTCTTCTTGTCTTCTCTTAATTCTGTCTTGGAGGTCCTTAACCTTAGAGGTGACTATGCCTGACTGGTTAACAAAATAACAACAGGCTACTCCTAACATATGGCAAATACCCACTTGAGCGGCTGTCAAAACATCTAGGTAAACTGCTTTGGGTTGAGATAATTGAACCTTAGATGGTGAAACCCTATAAACAGAAAGTTAAGAAGGATATAGGTATCTTGTTATAAAGCCTCTAGAGAGGGACTGCAGAGGAGAAGGCCATCAACATATTGGAGAAGAAAGGAGGATTTGAAGATTAAGGAGGTTAGGTCTTTTGCCAGGGTCTGAACAAAGAGATGAGGGCTGTCCCAGAAGCCCTGAGGGAGGACTATCCAGGTGAGTTGGGTAGAGGTTTGGGCATGAGGGTCTGTCCATGTGAAAGCAAAGAGATCTTGTGAATCAGGGTGTAGTGGGATGCAAAAAAAGGTATCTTTGAGGTCTAGTACTGAGAAGTGAGTAGCATGTGATGGGATGGAAGAGAGAAGTGTATATGGGTTGTGAACAACAGGGTGTATGGGGACAATTGCCAAATTAATGAGTCTAAGTTCTTAGACCAGTCTGTATGACTAT